TTTGATATCAACATGATGTAGAGTTGTGGTAGTTTGTGTAATAGAGTGGTGGTGGTAGTGACAGCTCACTCATGGTGGTTTGTGTTGTTGGTTGGAAAAGAAGACTCATGTGTTTATTTTGAAAAAAATATTTAGGACTCTTGTTGTAATTTTTCTTTTATTGTTTTATTTTGTAGCTTTTTCGTATCTACTTAAAGAGGAGCCAAATTTATAATTTTACGTGGTCAAGGACGAGTTTTGCTACATTTCCAAAAGGTTGAGAATAGATTTGAAAAGTTTAGGGATGAAAAGTTCCAAAATCCATTAATAATTGAATGAATATAATTTTAATGTATTCGTTTTTTACGTTTTTTTAGAATATGGTCTTACGTAAAATTGTGGTATACATATCTTACGCAAGAAAGTAGGACGGTTTTGCTGCCTTGTACCAGAAGGCATACCAAACGAAGAAACGTAGGAGATCTTTCCCTATTATGTATATCTCAGAGTAATTTCCAGGTGAGTTTCACTGGCAAAACCGCCTCCCAAGGAAATGTAAGGTTAAGGTTTTCAATTAAATTAAAAGAAAAATAAAAAGGTCGGCTGGGATCTGACTTCTATTTAAGTAAAGCAGACTTTTAATTTAATTATTGGTTGTCACATGAAATCAAAGTCCCAGTTGAATTTTTATTTTATTTTATTAGCTTCAATGATTTTCTAATTCCCAACCCATATTTGGTGGAAATTAAAATCAAATTTTTAATTGATTTTAATAAAAATTAATAAAATGTGTTGTTAAAAAGTTGTGGATCCAATAAAATATGTGGTTAAAATTAATTTTTAACTTTGATTTTGATAAAAAAAAAATAAAATTATAATTCATATCAAATAAGGCTAAATCTGATTTCTTTTTAAAAGGGCTGATCGGATCAAACGGTTATTAAAAAATGTAAACCACAAAATTGGCAATAATATGTAAATTTCAAATTTAAATTTAATTTTTTATAAATAAAAGAACTCATTGAATTTGGCCGAATTTAATTTTCATTATGTTCTCTTTTTTGTTGAATAGAACATTAGACAACAAAAATAATCGCTTACATATTTTTATAACTAAAATAAAATTAAACAAAAAAATAAAATAAATTGGAATCAAATTTAGGAAAGCAATTATTTATTTTGGAATTTAAGTCCTTTTTTTTCTCATAAAAATATTTCTTCAAGTAACGATATCTATTAGTTTATTAATGCATTATTTTTAAATTAACCAAAAAAAATCCAATGATTTTTCCCTTTTATACGGTAGTCTTACCTTATTTATTAAACTTTTCAAATTAAGAAATCAATTTGGAAAACCTTCTTAACAAAATCCATTAATGGTACAAAGAAGTAACAATATCTCGCTTTTTTTGGCTGGTGATAAAGGAAAGAAATGAAGAAATCGACCCGTTAGTAATTTTATTATTATTTCAATTTTGATATACAAAAGCTTTTAGAGCTAATCGGACTAATTTTTTGAATAGATAATTAAATCGACAGATTCGATCCGATTTTGAAACGTGAAACGTGAATTGGTATCTATTGAAATACAAATTAAAGGTAAAAGCCAAAGTCGAAGCTTTTCCACTAAGGAACATTTTTTTCTAGAATATTATCCTATCATTAATTATTATCTAATTTCTTATTGCCTTACACTGCAATTTCCTACCTAGTTCTACACGCCAAATCCCAATAGCACAACTAATCCATCACACGCTATCTAGAATCATTCTGCTCTATAAATACCTTATTCTTTTCTCTTACTAATATATACACACACAAACATACAACTTCATCGTATTAACCAAAAAAAGGCAAAAGTAAATCAAAACCAGTCAGTCTTCTGTTTGAAGAAAACAATGCAAACAACTTTCCTTAAATCCTTAAATATATCACTTCCATTTTCAGGCAATTTTATGCCTCAAAAACCAGCTCTGAATCGACGAGAAAAAAATTGCAGCCCAGTTTTTGCAGTGAGAAAAGATGCAGGACATGATAAAGGGCATCAAAGAGGAAGATTGATTGATGAAAATATGATTGTTCTTAGAATGAGAATACACCAAATGAAGATGGCCGAGGAAAATCAAGCTCCGCCGCTGCCACCGGAGAATTGGATGGAGTGGGAGAAGAAATGGTACGTGAATTATGATTCAGATGTGTTTGAAGCAGTAGGGTTGCTGCAGAATTTGCTTATGGATAGCAGGCCGAGTTTGGTTTTGGGAATGGTGGCTGTCATGATATTGAGTGGATCAACTTCTTTGGCTTTTCTACTATTCCATTTGGTGGACATCTTAAAGGGGATGATTATTTGATTAATGACTCGTTCTTTATAGATTTGTAGCTTAATTGTGTTTATGTAATTATATAAGAATTCTTTTCTCTAATTCAAAATTTTTGATTGGGTCGAGATTGTAAGAGCATTTGTAATTTAAGTGAAAGTATAAATTTTGATTGAACTTATTTTTTTTCGTTCCAGAAGAAATAATGTTTTAGTTAAAAATGTCAAAAAAGCTATATAAGAAAGAAATTTTACCAAAGAAAACATGGAATTTACCAAAAACACGAAATAACTACGAATTCTTTTTCAAACACGAAATATAATAATATTTAAAGTAAAAAACAAAAAGTCATAATTTTTTTTTTCTCGAGTCTTAGTGGAGCCAACGAACCAACGACACCCACGCCTCTCTCTAGGCTCCTAAAAATAAGTAGATAGAGAAATAATTTTAGCAACAAATTTCTCATCTAGATCATAGGCTGATTGCTTATTTGAGCCACATTATTTATAAAGAATGTATTTTGAAATAGTAGATTGATAGAGAATGTACGGTTAAAAAATAAGAAAATTTTTTGAATTTATGTGTAATATTATTTTATTGAAGAACGCGTGATTGAAATAATATCAAATTACTATTTAAAAATATATTTTTTTCAAATAATGTGAATTGAATATGGCCCGAGAAATTATTTGGGTTTATTTTCTTACAAGATGTGACACCATTGAAAACAGAGACATAAATAAGTTATGATTGTCTATGTTCAGTTAATTTGGACATTTTTAGAAGCCCCTTTTCCTTAAAATAATAATGTTTTATATTAAAATTCGCCGCCCATAATAATATCAGATCCAATCGAACCAAACCTTCCACGTCTCGTTGAATAGTACCTTCCATCAACCGCAATTCAGGGGCAGTGATTTCCTGCTTCTAGAAGCAACTGAATTATGTATATACTTATCATTTTGGGTCAGGTCAACTTATATCCAGGATCCGCCTAGTTTCCAACGCTCTCGATAATTGTCATTTTTTTTTTTGGTGAATTTGGAGTTTTTTTGACATCTTTTAATATTTCATTTAAGGTCCGTTTGTTTGTAAAGATAGAATTAAATTGAATTGAAAATGAATTCCAAGAAATTGAATTGCCTAGCATTTGTTTTCTTGTGAATTGTAAATTTTTGTGTTTGAATGGTATAATTTTTCACATGAAAACTCTTAAAATAAAAGTATTTTTTTATATTCGTTTGACTTTATTTTATATAAAAATTGTCAATTAAAAGAATATAATTTACTGGTAATGGCTATAAAATTTGTTTCCATTTCTAACAAAAAAAAAATGAAAAAAATCATCAATCTTTTTGTTGTTCGTTTGTCTTTGTTTTACATGGAAATTGTCAGTTAAAGGGAAATATTTTCTTACAATAATTCTTAGAATTTATTTTCATTATAATAAAATAAAATAAAAAACACGTCAAAGTAGGGTGGAAAACCAAGAAAATAACAACTTCCAAAACAATCAAGAAAATGAATTCCATGGAAAAAGTGTGCTATCAAACACTACAATTTGAGTTGAAAATTTTCATGGAATTGGCCCTATTAATTTTGAAATACTCTCTTTGTTCCAAATAGGATGACAATTAGGCTTGTCGATTCGGACTATCCATGGCTCAGCCCAAAAAAATGTCCGAGTCACCTTGGCTTGAAATTCGGAGGTATCGAGCCCCATTTTGGGAAGTCGACTCAAATCGAGCCGGCCTAAAAAAAAAGAGTAAAAATCTATTGCTTGTTGGCAGATATTTTAGAAAAAATAATTTTAAAAAATTCAAGAAAATCGACCTTGGGCCAGCTCGGCTTGGTAAAGCCTGAGCCAAAAGCTCAGGTTAAACATTAATTTTTTGGCCAAGCTTTTGCTCGAAAAAAGCCCATGCCAAGCTCGAGTAGGAAATTTCGGCTTAACTCGTTGACACCCCTAATCTCAAATATACCGGTTGACTTTCTTTATTTTTTTGTCTCAATTATATAATCTTATTTCTTTATTAAAAATGTTTTATTTTATTTGTTTACTAATATAACCTTATTTAATTTGTCTAGTTATAACCAAAATTTCTCCACTAAATATTGAAATTGTACAAATATAAATAAGGGAAGATTAAAAAAGTTTTTGACAAAAGTTACTTTTTGATAATATTAAATAAGATTTCTTAATCTGTATGAAAAATAAAACCAACTTATATAAATGAGATCGAAGGAATAAAGAGCACAAGCTCCCTCTAGTTCAGAGATTATTTGATGTATTATTTGCAAAAGAAAATGTATCTGATATATCATACTTTATAAGAATAGTCAATTAGGGTAGACAAAAGTACTGTATAGTCTGTATCCAACCGAAACCTAATTGAACCCTTTAATTCTGCTCAAGTCTAAAACATTTTTCGGTACTAAAGTCAAGAATCAAACATTTCAATCCAAATCAAGATTCTACTATTCATCTAAATTATCTATTGATATGATTTATTATGGTAATTTTAAGGTAGAATTTCCTTTAGTTAAGACTTTTAAATACTTTCTTCACTTTGAAGATATGACAAACGCCATTTTCTTGGCATTTTCCCTGAGAAACGCGCCATCGCCGCCTACCTGTATAAAAAACACGGTTTTCCACCAGATAATTCCATAAGACATGGAAAGCCCCACATGGCCGCCCACCCAGTGACTTCTTCCAAAAGGCAAAAGCTCGTAAAAATCTATAAATACCTCCAACACATTCACAGAAATAATACAATTACACCTTTTTATAGATTTATTCAATATCAAAGCAGCAATGGCATCAACTTCTTTTCTTCATTCACAGATTTCTCTTTCCAAGCCATTTTCTTCAACTCACAGAAACAGTGGTTGTACCAAAATTTTTGCAATAAGAAGAGAAACCCACGACCAAAACTTCGATGGAAGGATGGTGGATGAAAACTTGATCATTCTTCGGAAGAGAATCCATGAAATGAAGGTGATAGAGAGGAATTACGAGCCCCCCTCTGAATGGATGGACTGGGAAAAGAGATTTTATGCAAATTATGACTCAATAATTTGTGATGCAATGGGGCTGTTGCAATCCCAGTTGATGGAAACTAGACCAAGCTTGGCTTTGGGTATTATTGCTCTGATTGCACTGAGTCTGCCCACATCAACTGGTGTGATTATGTTTCATTTGATGGATGTAATCAAGGGAATAATTCATCTGGGTGGTTGAAGGAAATTTGGTTGACTTTATTTGTGTATATAATTCAAAAAAAAAGTTCTGTAAATTTATTTGTTTGCTTCATTTCTCCTCTTCATGTGTATATTCGTCACAGACACAGATTGTGTTCTTTGAATTTTTGTTTTCTTTTTTGGATTACCAAAGCTCAAGCTTGTTATATCCTCTTGATGTGTAGATTCGTCATAGATAATTTCCTCTATCCTTTATTCTTGAATCGATATATTTGTGGGCTGGCTTCACCAAAAAGCTCATAGACCAGTCCTAGACTTTGAGCCCATTATTGTAAGTATCTGGGCTTCGATCTGGGGGAAAAAAAAAAAAGAAAAATAAGAATAGTCATACAAAGGGAAAAATTCATATTTAAGGTGTATTCTTTACACCATTTCAAAGCCAGGTAAGAAGTTTGAAAATTCAAAATTCAAGTTTGTATTTAATTAATTAAAATTATTTATTAAATAAATATATTAAAGTCACAGTTAAATAATTAATGGTCACAGATTTTACAGATTTATTTATCAGTCACATATCATTAAAGTAATTGGTCACAGATTATTTCGAGTTCACAAATCGAAAATTTTATAAGTCACAGATTTTTTTAGTCACAAATTATCAAATTTTAAGGTTACAGACGAAATCGTTGAGGTCACATATTATTGTTTTAGTCACAGATCGTCAAATTTTAAGGTCACAAACCAAATCATTGAGATCACAGATCGTCACGGATCGTCAAATTTTAAAGTCCCAGACCAAACTTTATGGTCACCCCTTCCATCGATCCCATCCAGCACCAATCTTGGTCACAACCACCACCAGCCAATCGTCGATTGTACTGTACCACCGCAACACCACACCTGATCTTGATCCAATTCCACCACAGCACACCAAAAAAAACCATTATCACCGTCTGAACCTCGCCATCACCACCGCCAAATTCACCACCAACACCGTCACCGTCAACAATACGGAGATCACCACACGGCACAACACCACAACCGCCATCCAGCAGAAAACCCCAAACCCAACACCCCCATCAACTCCACCACGTCGTCGCCACCAGATCCACTAGTTCACCACCATCCCCGTTCGCCGCCATCACCAAGCCACACAACAACCACCACACCACACCACACCACAACCACCACCAAACACACCACCCACGGGCCATGACATAACAAAAATCCCCAAACCCCCAAACACACCACCCACGTGTTTACCAGCAAAACTACATATCCGCGTGCGAGGCGTCGACGCTGGAGTTGCACGAAGCGCCGATTGCTCCTTCAATCGACATTTTGGCAATTGGCAGCACAGTGCTTACACCCCGACGCTACCAGGTGAGAATTACAGCAACCTCCACTGACAACCACCACCAACACACCCCGACGCCGCAAGCTGAAAACTACAGCAGCCTTCACCGAACAATACTACCCCACCCCAAAGCTGCCAGCTGAAACCACAGCCTCCATCGACCACCACCACAAGCAGCCTCCACCACTACCATACTCGATCCGCCACTGCGGCGACTGCACCGGAGAGGGGCGGTGATTGGCGATTAGATGGAATAAAGTTATAGAGAGAGAGAGAGAGAAGCGAGAGAACAAAAGGGATGAAAATACTAGGGTTTGGGAATTCAATTTCAATATTTAATATTTTATTATTATATCAATACCTGATATTTGAATTATGAATCTTGGTCCCTGATGTTTGAATTGTGATGTTCAAAGACCTGGAATTATGTAATTTTCCCTCATACAAATGCTTTTGAGGAAATTGCATGTATTACTCATTTTAATATAATAATTCATACTATATATATTCCAACTTTTTTATACTATTTTTACTGCATTTTATAAAGTAAAAAACGTAACACAAAAAGTGACTTACATATTAAATTTGATTCTTTTGACAACCTATATAACTCCAACGAACAAGCCCTATTGATTTCCTCATCAAATAATCGAAATCCCCAAAATTAAACCCTTACCTCATAAAACCTCAAATTAGCAGTTACAAAAAACCATATTCAACCAAAATCAAAATTTCGAAATTAGATAATCAAGAAATCCCAAATCATCCCACAGATCACTCACCTCCATACTCCATACTGCAGAATCCATTTTCTTTATTTCAAAACAATGATCTTTATTGTTCAATGTTGAAGATATATAAAAATCCTTTCGAAAAAGTAGATCAAAACAATTCAAGGAAAGTTTAGCACGCAAATTTGGAAGATTATGGACTATAATTGAGTTGCAACCCAAAACCACTGTTCAACATTTGACTCAACGTCTCATGAATCCATGGTAAGGACTCTTTAACCCAAGTAGTGTAGGATTAGATAACAAATTCCGTTATAAGTAAAAGCAATTTTAACTTACATGTTAAATGTAATTTCAATGTACATGTTAAATGTTATTTCTATTATAATTCTAGTTATTTATTCTATGACTTTCTTCTAACCTCAACCAATAAAATATATTTATATTTAGGGTTACAATTGATGTATATAATTTGGGTACATAGATGTGTCAACACCACTCACATAGGATGAGACCCGCGGGAAGTGGTCCCCACCCTATGCGGAGGTGTGGACACCCCTATATACAAATTTTATTAGGGTTGCACAAAAAAATCACGAAATCGCAAATCAAATCGAAATCGTTGGTTCGGATCCACGTTGAACCGTGATTTCTTTTCTCTCAAACTAAACCAAACCGTTTCAAAATGATTTGGTTTAGATTTTGATTTTCAAAAATCGCACAAAATCGAACCGAACCGTTTTAAATTTTTTAATTAAAATATTAATTTTATTAACTTAAGATGGATGTTTGAGAGCCATTTTTATGTAAAAATGCATTTTTGAATAGTAAATTGATGGAAAATGTGTAGTTGAAAAATAAGAAAAAAAATTTTGATTTACGTGTAATATTATTTTAATAAAGAATGTGTGATTGAAAAAAAGAAAGAGAAAAATGGGTACCAAACAGGATTAAAAAATTTGCAGTTTTCATTTTAAAAAAAAATACCAATTAAACAATACAAGTTCTGATCAACCTATTGAAATAATCATAGAAAGTAAATTAGTTTCGTCATTATTGACCTATAATTTAACGGGTTCACAACACATCCTCACCCGATATCTAAACTAAACTAAAATTATTCCCAAATCATATTAACCTAGAGCCTCAAGCTCCAGAATGGTACTTTGCTCAAAATGTTGACTATTTAAGAAACAAGGTCGATCGAATGTTTGTGAGGGAACGCCGTGCAATGAAGGTATCTCACTTCTTCCTTTGATCTATTTCAAAATTTTGTATTATTTTCTTTTAATTTTTCTTTAGTTTGTGTGATATGCAAATTGCTCGAATTTGTAGTGTCTTTAAAAAAGAAAATTATTTCGCGCGGGTAGTCGCTAACAATTAAAAAAGGATCAAACGATTGTGTAAGGAACAAACCTCTTTAGACAAAGTCCCAAAAAGGGGTGCTTTATTGGCGATGACTTTACAATTGGAACTAAATAGAATGCCTCCAAGGGGCGCAAGTACACGAGTACTGAAAAGAAATATTTAAATTTAAACTAAGAAATTGAAATTAGATATTCTCTATTTGAGAGTGTTTGATTCGGATTTTTTGCTCTATGTCTTTTCTTCCTTTTATATTCTCTTGATGATCCCTTCATGATCAACCGCTTAGAAACTGCTTAATTGCTTTATAACTGCCCACTTTCTTCATGGTGGCCAACTTATCGTGGAACTGCCGTCTCTAACTGCTGCCACTACTCTTTGTCGTTCAACCGTCTTCAACTGAATTCCTCGAATCGTGGAACGTGATAAGATTACTCAATAACTGCTTCGATAACTGCACTTTTGGATAATTATAACATCTTATGTTTGCTAAGATTCTAGGCGATTCGAAGGTTTGGGCGAGAACATGGTCATAACCCTGGACGACTGCAAGACACTTCATTTGCTCAGATCTTGGGCGTTTTGCAAGTTTGGGCGATGGTGTTACCACGTTCGTGGGCTTCCACTGCATTCATTAATAACCTTATTTTGGCCTTTATCCTGAATTGCCCAGTTGGGCTTCATTTTTTGGGCTATTCGATTTGGGCGGCACTTTTAATGTGTCAACAATTACCCCCCAATATGGCAGAATTAATACCAATTATTAATTTTTGCCATATTCACCTTGTGTTTCCCAGCAACATTTGAAATTTTCAAGAATTTCAATCATTATTTTCTTCCATAGCTTGAAAAGGCGCGACGTTACAAACCCTTATAACCCCAAAATACATGTCATTTTATCGCACCATTAAATCACGCCTCATTGTTTCGCGCTTCTCTCTCACAATATTATTGTTTATCTTCTTGTTTCTCTGCTACGTTTCTCAAGCAAATTTCAACAAAACTTTATTTCGTTCCTAATGGCTGCTTCACAATCCCAATCTGGTGATTCCTTCAGTTTCGAAGACTTCCAGAAAATCCTCACTCGGCCATATATAACTCCGAACTTCTTTGCACCAGCCAATGCCGAACTCAATGAGTTCTATCTAGGTCCTTCATTCAACAACGCCGAGGCCGTTGAACAAGTGGTGGTGGGCCAGCTGTTCCCTTGTACTCAAGGCCCTCCATTTCTAAACTCTTTGCCGTTGAGGCCGCTTCGCGAAAGAGGTATTCGCACTTGGCCTAAATCTGATGTTGTTTTCCGTAGATGGCATGCTCACTTTATGGGCCATGGTCCTACCAAGGTAATTTTTGATAGTGCTAGGATTTCTGATTTATTAGAAATCTCTCTTCAACCCCCTACTTTTAATCCAGTGCTTTTTCCTATTGCTTTAAATTTTTGGTTCTCTGAATATAATACTTTTGTTTTCCCTCTTGGTCCCATATTCATTACTTTAAGGGATATTGGGGCCTTAGTAAATCTACCACCTTTGGGCGATACCATTTTCCCTGGTATTTTGATTTCTGGTGTCGCCCCAAAATTTGACAGAAAACTCACCGACTCCTATTCAAGACTGCAAAGCTGTTATAATCACTCGAGCACTGAGCCTTCTTATGTTGAGCGTGTGGCCTTTCTTCAGATTTGACTTTGTAAATATATCCTGTGTGTGCCAAGCATGAAGTCTTTTATCAGCTATTTACCCATAGCGCATGAATTGGCGCGTGGTAGGCCTTTGAATTTGTGTTCTTTCTTTTTGGCTGCC